AGAGAAGGTGACCTTGAAATGCTGAGCTCGGTGGGGGTTTGAGCCGGCGCTGCTGCTCCGGCTCGAAAACATCACAAAGACACAAGTCAAGAGCTCCTTCATTTTCCAAACAGCGTCGGTAGCTGTTCCAGTCTGCACTAATCAGCAGACACACTCAGATGTGCTGCGGTGAACACATGCCAACAAGTAACAGTGCTCTGCAGAAAAATGTTGTTTCCTCAATTTGTAGCAGTCGTTTCTTACAGTTATAATCATAATATCGTGCAAATATTGTACAGATTTTCTTTTAAATGTTAAATTACAGATGACGTCCAGTAAAATTACAGGAGAAATGGGTTTTATTTACTAGTTAACTGTGGAAAAACAGGTCAAAGCTGTCAGTAGTGTCCACCACAAATCTGTATTTTTAATAATTACTATATTTACATCAGCAAAAAAAAACATTTTACAGAAATTTGCCGTTAATTGAAAGGAAAGCTATGAGTATTAATGATGGTAAAATGGTAAAAAGAAATTCGTTAACTGTCATTTTACAGATTTCCAGAAAAGTAAATATTGTGTAAAATCACTGCATTTAAAAAAAAATAAATAAAAATTTAAAATAATGAACTAGTTAACTGGGAATAAATAGACCAAAACTATACTATAATGTCAACATCAAACAATCTGTATTTTCACAAATTTTAATTCCTTCTCTACAACATTTGGCCATAAAACTGTTACTATGTTTAAATCATGGTGTAAAAAATCATTATTTACTAATATTTGTGATTCTTCGGAAACAAAATGATGAATGTTAAGGCTTTGAATAAATCTTTGAGTGTTATTTTTCAGATTTTCCCTTTTTTGTTAAAGTACAGGTAGTTTTAACCTGAGAAACGGGCCAATAATGTCAATAATATCAAAAATCTGTATTTTTACAAACAGTAATTTGTACTTTTACATTGTGTGACTATAAAATGACACTGTATTACTCAATTTAAATGAGGAAAAAAAATCTTTACTTGATATATATTTGCTGCTGTTTGAAAGAAAACTGGGGTATATTGAAATAAAAATGGTAATTAGTGTTTGAACTTTTTTTTTATAGATTTTTACAATTTTGTTAATTTGCAAATGATGTTTTGTAAAATCACTGAAAAAAGCAGTGATTTGGGGCCGCTGCTGTAGCTCACCTGGTTGGGCTGGCGTCCCATGTATAGGGGCTATGATCCCTGATGCAGCGGTCATGGGTTTGATTCCTGCTCATGGCCTTTTGCTACAACTCCCCCATTCTTCTTCCACTTTCCTGTCTCTCTCTCAACTATCCTGTCCAATAAAAGGCAAAAAGGCCAAAAAAATAACTTGAAAAAAAAGTAGTAATTTACAGTTTGACTGATAAAAGTCGGGCCTCGACCTTGAACCATGCATAACTTTAAGCCTTAATACAATTTAAATGGGAGAGTTATTAAAAGTTGTCACAAATGGGGTGTCGAGACCGAAACCGAATTTCGTACCAGTTTGTAAACATGTTTATTTCTGCTGTAAAGCTGGACATTTTAACACAGCAGTCTGTGGGGGCTGACTTGCTTATGGTAGCAGCCTCAAGTGGACGTTCGTGGAACTGCAGTTTTTAGTAACTCTACGCTATTCAGTGGTATTTTTAAATATTTAAGATTTTCAGTGTCTAATTCGATGGACGCTGCCAGAAACAGTAATGACTCATGAATACGTTTGATAATTAGACCTAGCCTGAACCTAATTTAATTTCCGTGTGATTACCATGATAACAATACATCGGTGCAGCAATCAGGTTTCTCATCTAGTTATCCACTAATCTCAGATCAAATGGAGTTGCCGTGTTATGAAGTGAAGTGGAAGATTGCAAAGTCAAGAGCAAAATGGAAGTCCTTGACCTTCAGTCTCTCACCTCTTCCCTCGTCTCGTGAATATTCAGAGCTTCTCTTTGCCAGCTGTGAACATCCTGGGCGCCATATTGACGGGAGGCGATGTGAATTCATGTTTAGGAAGTTGTTGTTTTTTTTTTTTCCTGGAGGTGTTTGTAGGTCTCTAAGTTTGTGCAGATTTACGGCGTCAATATTTCTTCAGAGCGCGTCCACGGTGCAGCAAAGACTGTTTGTGTGTTCGTCCTGAGCGGGCTTTCATTCCATTAACAGAGGCCTCTCAGACAAAATATGGATCCTTTAGAAATCCTCTCCTAACCTCACAGGTATTTTCGATCCCTCGCAATGCTGACGTGACTGATATCGAGCTGCAAGACTCTGACACCATTCGTCTTAGCGGCTTTTCTTTTAATTACCGCTTTTCCCGTGGGAGCCAGCCGGGTAGTTAAGCAGAAATCAGCATTACAGCAATTATTGGCTCGCAATGAAATGAATACAATCTTGTCATCTGTAATCATTGGGGGCGTCTATGCCTCGGAGAAAACAGCTTCTCCTTTCTGTTTCTCGGTGAGGGGAGGGGGTGTAGTACGTGGAAACAGAGAGAATCCTGGTCGGCCTCGGCGGACCGACGTGGCTATTCAGCAAAGTAAGCCGCGGTTGAAGGCTGTTTCCTATCAAATGTTCTGTTTGCAATCTGTCTCTCCGGGTCACCATGTGTCATGGAAACAAGTAGAATTCGTAAAAATATCATCTTCAGACAGCAGACGTGATAAAAAGAAAAAAAAAGGAAACTGCAGCAGTGTTTGATAGCGTTGCTGTGAAGGGTGAAATCTTTAAAGCTGCTCTAATGGGGTCGCTCGTTCTGACAAACCCACAGAGAATTATTACACAACCGTGCAGTTCCCCCCTCGGCTCTTTCAGCTCATTGTTTTGGTTGTAAGTCGGCTCACCCTCAACGCCGTCATCGGCGTCGTCTCCAGACAAGTAGGCTGCTGTCTTTGACTCAAAACCCCCCACTGTGCCCGGCCCGAACCGCAGATGCACAAAGTTAAAGCAACATTCAAGTGTTATGAAACCTGGACCTTGTTTTGTATCTTTCTGAATTATGAGGAGGAGCAAAAATGTTTGGAAGTGCTCCGATATTGAACGCTCTAACCAGCCGTTGCAAAGGGCTGCAATGTAATCCTGCAGGGCAATTAAACGGGCTTGTTTTTGCCACTAACACACTCAGATTATTATGTGAGTGAAGGTAAACACAGAAGTGAATCAGCAACGTGTTCGTCCATGCGTACACATTAGAGTGGCCTCTAACAGTTATGTAGTCAAGGAACACAAACGGAAAACTTTTTCTACATTAAAAGAATAATTGCTGTAAGGGAGCGTGGTTTTTATTTTTATTTTTTCAGGGCTGATGCTGATTATTAGTCATCCAGTGTGAGTACGGAGCTAAAAAAAAATACTTGTGTCTTGACAATCACTGCAAGACTCCTACTACACTCTATGAGGCATTCTTAATTACAGATTAATGGTGGACTACTGTATGCACTGTAAAAATGTGTTTAAAGACATTTACCTTTAAAAAAAAGAGAGAGAGAGAATTTCTGTGTTACAACCCAGCTCCCAACAAAAACCAAAGTAAAACCAAAGTTCAACAGAATAACAAAAAGTGTTCAAATCAAGGCACACCAAACAGCACCTTCCTAAATGGGAATAAAAAAAAACAATCCTCTTACTGAGCCCTGTCCCACAACAGCTTTTGAACAAGTGCCTTTACACAAAACAAAAATCCTCCTGTGAGAATCAGGCTCTGGAGCACTGCTTACAGCCACTCTGTCAACTGGGCTGCTCCAAACTTAAATAGGCCGCTGTCATCAGCTGGAAGGTCTCATTGGGTCCTGAGTGATTGGGTTGGCTCCGCCCATCTACCATGGGCCAATCGGCGACCGGCAACAGCACACTACAATTTGCATAGGGAAGAAACAAAGAAACACAACAAAGAAGGAAGGGCTGGCAGCCGTAGCAGTCTGTCAAATACCAAATATCAAACTTACAAGAATCCATCATTTTATAAAACAAATTTTAAACAGTTAAGAATGTTAAATTAATTAACACAAAACTCATAAAGTTGTTTCGTGTTTGTAAAAACAAGAAAATCTCGTAGCAAGGATGTCAGAAAAAACCTCAGTACAGTAGACTCTACAGGAGTTATTTGAGCAACATGTTAAAACAAAAATATACAAAAAACAACAATATCATATAATGAAGATTTTTAAAAGCAGTTAAGTAAATGTTAATTAACATTCTCTTCATTTTTCCTGATTGAAATCTGTACCTTGACAGACATGATAAAAAAAACAATAAATAATCCTATGAAATAACATAATTATGCTGTTTTATTCTGCTGCAAATTGTGCACTTTCAGTGTATTTATGTTGAATTTTGTTGATCTTATTATATTTATTCTCTTACAGGAAAAATGTAATTTTACTCCTATTTGGTCATGAAATTACAAAGAAACTATACAAGTTATTTATTGTTGAATTGTGTTTGGAAGTTTGTTCTTTTGTAGGACATTTTACCATTTTTTAAAAAACTTCTTCTATGTGAAGTTACTAGAAATAGATTTAGTACATAACAAGTCAAATGCAGTGAGCCACAAATACCAGGATGGTCTCCAACATCCAGCTCGTTTGCAGTTTTTAAACCAGCTGCTTTTCTGATACGTCACAGTTTCTAGCACGAGTACGACCAGCGGTATACACTATAAGGACAGCAGCGCATGAGTGGAACATGAAGGAACAGAGTCCTCAAAACAGACTCAAGGATGGCTAACCAGTAGGCATCTGTGTTGGCCACAACTGTCCACGTCTGCAAAGGAGTATAATCAAGGCTTAACCAGCTTGAGCTGCAGAGAACACACACAGATGACGTTTGGTTTCACCCTTCAGACTGTGACGTATACATGGAAGATGGTCGAAGCTTAAGGCGCCAAAATATGATGAAGCAGAATGTCCCAGTCGGGTGCAACAGTTTGTTCTTTGTAAGCTGAAAGTAAGCAGTAAGGAGCGCAAGATGCATCTTCTAGTCGTATTATTTGTTCTTTGTCTCGTCCTGCAGCTGCAGAGCGACCTGGACCAGGAGTACCAGGACAAGTTTCGCCGGCTACCCGTGGAGATCCAAGAGTTTGTTCAGGACAGCAGCAAGGCCAAGCTTAGCGACGACAGCAGCGGCAACCTGGTTTCCTCCTCGACGACGGAGAAGCTGAACCACAAGGCGTCGCAGTCGGAGGACGACACGGAGGAGGGCTCGTCTGAACGCGTCTACGACACGCCCCTCTAGAGGTCTAACCGGCACTTTGCTTCACACTGGGACTCTGATTGGTGGACGTGGTTGCGACCACAGATAAAGGATGAGACTGCCCCACCTTTGGTCCTCAATGTAACCAATGGGAGGATTAGATCAAATCTGAGCCTGACCTGGTGAGTAAGAGGTCCCCTCTGCGTAGAGTGCAGTCCTGTCCAGACAAGCGTTTCATGTAAATAGTACTTTTTGTGTATTTGTATGTTCCCTGTATGTTGTCGTCTCTTTCGGTACGGCCACAGGATGTGTTATGAAACACTAACTATTTGCAGGAATTAACTTACTTGAACTATTGCACAGAGAGAGTAGTTTGTTTTTGTTGTTTTTTTATTAACATGACCGTCGTGGTGGTGGTGGTGGTGGTCGCAGAGCTGCGTGGTGCCAAGTTCTGAGTCCGCTCACGGTGGATTTTTGTCATTTAAGTGGCGTCAACTCGTACTGTAAAGAAACCACTGCTTATTCAGCCTTTGAAGCTTCCATCTTTATAAGATTTAAACCCACCTTTACGTATTTGCACTGAAGGCTCACTAAATGTGTAACTCTTTTACTTTAACCCAGAGGCACTGGTGGCTTCTCGATTTTTGTTCTCACAGAACTAAGCCTATGTGTTGCTGCTATTTTGTTTTAAAACCCATCTTTTTTTTTTTTTAAACCGTTTTTTTGGTTCGTATGATACGTGGCATGATAATATTGTGTCATCTTTCTTAGCTCTGGCTAGTTTTTAACAGTAGTTTGTGGGCACTTCTGTCCGGCGAGGAAGAGAAGGGAAGGTTTGTTGTACAGTGTCTGCATGTATTTGAACAACTGTAAATGTTACAGTAGCTCTGTAGCAGAGACGTTTATTAATGTAAATCTATTTTCTCTGAAACATTTCAACTAAACCTGCAAAACGGTCGACCCGGCGTGGCTTTGATACGCTGCTGTGGGATAAGCTGAAAGAAGTCACGACACACCCTGTTTTTAGGTTCTGTTTTTAGATGCGACAGTAGGTGGCTCGCGTTAACAGGCTGCTCATTGTTTTCTTCACTCTTTGGCCTGCTGAACTAAAACTGTCAAACCAGAAGCAGAAGAGGATCCTGTTGTAGTTTATAGAAGTGGCCTTCGTCCTAACTGGTTCATTGTGTACCTACAGTTCCCCTGCACACACACACACCGCAGACAACACAGTCGGTTCTGTTTGGACAGTGACACCGTTTGCATGAATAAGCCTCTGCACACCAGCACAGTGGGTCTGAGATGAAGCAATCCAGATGTGCAGACTCTCAACTTTGATTCAGGGGCTTTAACAAGACTATTTGTTTAACTGTTAAGAAATTACAGCCATTTTTTTTACAGCTTCAAAAGTCACCGTTTTTTATATAAAGCATGTATAAAACAAAAGCTGTTGCATTAAAGTAAAAATATGTTCCCTAAAAAGTTTAAAAAATAGGATTAAGACCCTCAAATGTTATTTATGGTGTGTTTTTTAACTGAGTAACTTACACTAAAGGGATTCAAACCCTACAAAAAAGATCTAAAACACTACTTTACCTGACTGCAGTATATATTAGGGTTAAGACCTTAAATTATTATTAATTATGGAGAGTAACCCAACTAAGAACGCAATGCTAATGAGCACACGTAATACCTGGAATCAACTTTCTTTCTTTCTTTTATTTGTCATGAAATAAGAAAAAAGTCCCACATCTGGCTGTTACCTGCTTACAGTCAACTGTCCGATTACTTTTGAGCCTTTAAATTTGATGGACGGTGTTAAAAAATGGTTAATATAACATTTTTGTCAGAGCCTGTGAATTAAAGCTGAAGATCTGCACTTTGATCGCACCTCAATAGCGTCGTTGAAATCCATTACGGTGGTGAAAAGAGGCAAAGAAACGTCCAAATGGAGCCGATTTCGTCCGCTGGCTTTATTCTTATCATTCGCCCACAGATCGGACGCTTTCAAGCGGGTAAATAGTTCAGTTAAACGCTCAGTTTAAATCCACCAGCGTTCACATGAGCTCATTCATAACTGGACGTTTTACCTCTTTAAACGTTCTTTTTTAATTTTTTTTTTACATTTTTGACTTCCGGTGCCATTTAACTCACGGGTGTGATATCAAATCACACTTTGGCTGATTTTCCCTTTTTTTAAAGAAAAAAAAAAAAGAACAGAAAGTGAAGGATTACCTGACATGTAAGTACAAACTACACTTTAAAAAGATATAGATGTGAGAGTCCTGTGCCTTTTGAATGGGTTTGATGTTGAATGTGTGAAATGCATCATTGTTTAAAATTGCCATTATATGATATTATACGAAGCTGTCTGGTATTGAATAGACCGTGTGCACTTTTTTTTTTTTTTTTTTTTTTNTTTTTTTTTTTTTTTTTTTTAGTACAGTACCACTACTGAGTAATGCTTGTGACGAGCAGTATTTGACATGTGTCTCGCGAGAAAAGAGAGACTTTTTTATTATTATTATTATTTCTTTTGTGTCTTATTTAACAGCCTCCCTCCCCTCCTTCTTCTCATCAACTTAAGTGTATGCACTCTGGAAATGTAAATGTATGTATGACATAAAGGATAAAACATGACAATGAGAAAAAAATATAGTGTAAAGGGAACTTGCTTGTAATTAATAATAAATGTGGCTATTATTGTACTTTGCCAGAGTGGAGTTGTGTGTCTTTTAATTTGTCATTGGTCAACCTGAAAGTGTGTTTTCATTTTTTTTATTTTTTCCATTTAAAAAAAATTCCATGTCTGTCTTTGTGATGTTGTGTTATAAATACATTCATAATTTGATTGTTTATTGATCCCTCTTGAGTTCAGTTGTGTCCCTGAATCAGTCTGTTGTCCTTTTATTTTTGAATACAGTCCTTAATTGTTGGTTTTCATTGTGTTCACCTTGTAATTTGTTGGTTGTCACATAGATTTCACTGTTATCCTATTAACACAAAGATGCAAACGGTTGAGAAAAATGTGCTGCAAATGATAAAATAGTGTAACTGCCAGGGCTGGTGCTAAAAATTTGTAAAGTACGACAAAACATTTTATCAGCTTCACAGGTGCGTAGGTCTTGTTTTTCTGTGCTGCTCGACCATATAGACACATTAAGTCGATTTTAACAGATGTTAATCGACATTAAAACGCCTTAATTCACTGTTTTCAAACTCGATTTTGTTCGCGTAACCATCTGAGGTGCTACAAGCGGAGCTGAGCGGAGACTAGAGGCTTCTAGTGGCGCGAGGCGTTCAGGGAACATCAGTAAAATGTAGTGTCTACCAGTCGTCTGCATGTGAGACGTTTAGGAAATAAAAATATAACCTCTAAACTGCAAGAATCTCTGCATGTACACCAGCTACCCAACTCCACAAGTATGATTAAACACTATACAATTCATTTATTGCAAGTAGAGTTTTTGCTCCAAATTATAAAATGTTAAAATGTCTCCAGGCAGCAGCAAACCGAAGCTATGAGGAAATTACAATATAATTTAACACTGATGATAATATTTCTAAAGCCTTTCACTAACTTTAAATCCAAGGTCGTCCATGTGAGAGAGAGAGCAAAACGTTCATCTGCACCTTTATTCCTGTTCACAATGCTTGACATAGTGTGTGAAGAAATTACCAATATGTATGTGAACGCACAAAAAAACTGTAATTTTTTGGTTTAAAATTGTGGGTGTAAGTTAATGCATAAAGTTAGTCTGCAGCCCTGACTGCATGTTAAGAAAAGAGAGCACACATGAAGCCCTGTTACTGTGTGCATTTGTGTCCTGCATGTACAATATGCAGGTTATGTGTGATATATGTGTCACAGTGAAGGGCAGGGGGAAGCCTTGATGACCTACTTCCTGTTATCTCCCTGGTAACAATATCTCTGAAATAACCCAAAGAGGAACACCTCTGTGACGGAGTAGCCGGCCACCGCTCCCAGATTCAGCAGCACTGACATCACACCGATTGTTTCTGAGGACTTCAGCGTGATGCAGATTTGCTCTTATACTTGCCACGATGCAGCAACGCACAGTGAACTTTAGTCTGGCGATGCAAAAGTGAAGCCGTTGGACTTTTTCTCTGCCTAAAAAAATCACATGAATCACTGTAATCTGCATTTTCCACTGCAGAAGGGACCGTTTCTGTCTGTGCTGACACAACTATTCTTTTTTGCGCCTTTTTTTTTTTTTTCAGTCTTTAACACATTTTCAACGACACATTGTGCGAGCGTTGGTGGTGGCGTGTGCCCGGAGAATTTGTCGCTGTAACATATGTGTGTGTTTTTCCAGACTGCACAAACACTGCGTCCTTCTCGGTCTCGGCTCCTCAGCAGAATCCCAACAGGCAACAGGAGATAAGGCCGAGCCTGGTCGCCCATAACAACCGCTGCGACCATTCAGAGGCCTCGGTGCATGCCGGCAACTAGGAAGTGAGCTAATTAACCCCGAGTTCAGGACGGAAGGAGAGCAGCTTTTTAATAAGATTCTCTGGGTTATATAAACAGTGACGCCCCTCCAAACTCCCAGGAATATTATCGCCCTGCGCCTGTCCATCTGCTGCGGGGATGAGGAGGAGGAGGAGTCCTGTAACAGGGCTTTAATGAGGAATACCAAGAGGAGACGACCACTGGAAGCTGCTGTGGAGGTACACCGAGCACACACACACACACACACACACACACAGGCCTAGAAAGTACCTTTTTAACAAGATATTCACTGACTTTGTTCACTCCTTGGCCCCGGAAATCTTAATCCAAGCCCTCAGCTTTCCTAATCCAACCCTAATCCTGAGCCTAAGAATGTAACGTTGGCACTAAACCTAACCTTGGATCGAATTCTGATTGTAATTCTAATATTATCCCTGCCTGCGTTGGACCATCACGCTTTGTCCTAAAACCTAAAAATGTCCTCTTCAGAGGGAGGAGGAAAGGCACAGTGCCCTTGCTTTGCAGGGTTTTCCTCGCCAGCGTTTCATCACAGTGGTTTTTTTAGAGCAGTTATTCCCCAAAAGCTCTGAAACACAAAAGACTGTTTATCCTAAATGTGACAGTTTTCATTTTGAATTCTGTTGCACATGTCGACTGTTTGTTTTTAACAAGAACTCACAGATTGTGTAGTTGTGTGCGTCGTGTCTTGTGCATGTATGCAAGAAAATGACTGTGGGCACTGATTTTTAATTGTGTTCACAGAAATATTAGAAAGATGTTGGAATTGTGGGAACTGTAGGACCCAGTATATTTGGAGTTTCATCTGCACTAGATCAATAACTTTGCCTGCGCTGCATCTATTTTGGCTGTTTTGTTTTAAAAATCTCTGATAAACGTCAAGGTGGGCATTTGTAGACATATGATAAGAAGGAGAGTGTTTGAGGTGAGCACTTAACATGTCTATGTGGACTTTTTTTTACATTCTGGAAGAGACGTCATGAGCAGATAAACACATTCAGACCTCCAGGGTTTCATATGTAATCCTGTTAACTTGCATATTGGGATTTTGTTTGACACCATTCAGAATCTGTTCCCAGTTCATGACTCCAGTATTGCTGCTTCGAAATGTGTTGCGTAAAGTTTTCCAGTCGCCATGTTTCCAACTATGTAGTTATATGTGTTATTAGAAGTGTAACATTAGAATAAGTTAAAGAAAACGAAAAAATAAGCAAAAAAAATGCTCCCAATTTCGCAAAAACAGTTTTACAATCATATAACACGTCACATAATTTGCATAACGGGAGATAGAAACACCTTTTTTGAGGGAATGCAGCGAACATTTAACTAACATGACCGATCAGGTCTACTGCGGTACATGAAATTATGACACTGATAAAAAATAATAAGAAGAAACTGCTGTCGCTGATGCAACATGTTTATTAAGGCACGATCTATACTCATTAAGATACATATTTTTTCTTTCAAATTACGGCAAATTTCTGTGATTTTTCTAGTTTTTTTTAACCTTTTCAAACAGTTATCTGTAAAACAACATTCCATTAATAAATAAATAAATAAATAAAATTGAACATTCTTCAGTTCTGTACATGATTTTTCTTTTAAATAATTTAAATTCTTTCACAAATTTAAATCCAGTAAAAACAGTGTAATTGTACAATAAGCATTGTAAAATTACACATTCATGTTTATATAAAATACATTATGTTGACAGACATTATTTAGCTAACATGCAAATCCATACTTTTTTTGGGTGATTTTACTATTTTTCTTGTATGTAATTTAACAAAACAAGATAAAACATCAAAACAACAGTTTTTCAACATTTTTCAACCCCTAATATAATTTGGTTTTTCTTGTAAATAAGGGCAAGTATCAGTAAAGTTATTACTAATTTAAATACAGAGTAATTTATGGTAAATATCTATAAATAAATCTGTCAAAATTATGTAAAATGGCAGCAATTTTCTTCTGTAAAATTATAGTTAGAAAAAAAAATTAAAAACTGTCGCTTTTTTAAAAAAAAATGTATATGGGGAGATGAGCTGCATGTAAACACCAGAATACCTGTTTACATGTGAACCCAATCCAACATTATATCAATTTATTTTTTCTTTTTTAACAGTATAGGATAAATAGTAGACTGCTTCTTTAATTTCCTGCATATGATGAATTTTATGCAACATTTTTCACATTTTTAAAATTCATTATTAATTCATGCAGGAAACGTGTCTCCAGTAGCAGGTCCTTTGCTTCTTTCATGTTTCATACCGGTGGGAGGGACCCTGCATAGCTGGATTATTAAACCTACAGCAGCCAGTTTTCGGGGGACGGCGGAGCGTCACCCAGGCAGGAGGAGGGAGCTGGAGGGAGGAGAGGGGAGGCTCTGTTTGTGAACGCATGGCGGCTACAGTAGTCAGCTGTTGGGGGAGGATGGAGGGGGGAGGAGCCGGAGCTGCTGGATGACTCACTCTGTCAACCTAAAGCGCACTCATTCACACACACACACGCACGCACGCACGCACGCGACGCACGGACGGGCGCTAACGTGCACGGACGCGCGGGCACGCGGGAGGTGGAGAGGGAGAGAGGGGCTCCTAATCAAAGCGCAACCAGGGCCGTTCATTCTCCACCGGAGGGCGGCTGGTACAAGAGCACCGGGACGCTCCGGCAGCCGGGAGACGGGACACAGCAGCTGGAAGAGCCGCACAGAGACGCCCCCCGACCCGCAGCAGCAGCAGCAGCAGCAGCCGCAGCAGCAGCATCTCCTCTCCGGATTAAACCCCCCTCTCTGCACCCCCAGCGTCTCCAGCCACCGACATCACGTAAGAAACCTCGTTGAATTTTAATATGCGAGTTGTTTTTATTTTTTTTATTATTTTTTTTGACGTCCCGTGGATGCCGGAGCTTTTAATTTAAACTCCATAATCCCGCATCCTCTCTGTCACACACACAGCTGGAGACGGTAGCATTTGCTAGCTAGCTAAAAAAAGAAAAAAGAAAAAAACCGTTAAACCGGACCCCGTTTTGAATTAACTCCCGGTCTGGCTTCTCCTACCGGGTGAAAACGACACGACAGGGTTTTTCTTTTAAAGCCTCGAAAACTTGACAGTTAAGGTTTCTTTCTGTTCTTTCGTTTCCTTTTTTTTTTTTTTTTTTTTTAAATTATCGTCCGTACCGGCGGAGCGACGTTAGCCGGGGGAAGCTAGCAGCAGCCGTAGCGGGACAAGAGCAGACGGCTGCCCGGCCGATGAGCGGCGAGAGCGGCCATAAAGTCGACTGAGTCACCGACACGGGCTGCCTCTTTTATGGCTCGTATTTACACTGATTGTGGCTCAGTGGTCCCTGCGATATCTGCAGCCTGTTGACCCTGAGAGACGAGTGTAATTAGTGCTAATGTTAATTTAATGTGCTGCTGCTGCTGCTGCTGCTGCTAGTCTGGTGGTAGCTTCAGTGAACGTGGGAGCTGCAGCTGCCACATTTCATCCAGACTGCAAGGTGGCATTGATTCACAACTTAGGAAAATGCTCTGTTTCACTCCACATCAATGCCAACCTTGAATCAGTGACATGGAAATAAGAATGAGAGAGATTTTGGTGTTGCATCCTCCCAAAAAAAAAAAAAAAAAAGATGTCCAGCTGCATCAATCAGGTGTCATTAGATTCCAGTGTGGAGACCTTGACATTGATTTTGACATTGTTTCGAGGTTAAATCAATACCAGTTTGCTGTTCAGAGCTCCTCATATAATTTTATTGAGGTGACCGGAGCTGCGACTGACCATTATTTTCATTGCATGTCATTTTTTTTGGATCAATTGATGAGTTTCTCGGTCAATAAAATGTCAGTAAAAGGTTGAAAATTTTGCTTGGTTGCTTCTTCAACCCCTTTTGCCTTCTTTCGTTTTTTTTTTTTTTCCCCACCCCCCAGATGTGTTGTTTTCTGTGTTATATAGCGCCACCTCTTTTTTTTTCTGTGTGTTTTTTTTCTGAGAAAATGTGTGTGTTTTCTCTTTTTCGCGTGTTTTATGTGTGTATTTTTTGTTTTCTTTGCTCCTCTATGACAGTCAGCTGAATTTCTTTTGCAACTAGTTAATATTTTGATAATTTATTATAGATTAATGTATAATAACGGGAGAATAATGTAATAATTGAGTAATTATTTAATTGTGCTGCTGCTCGTCTGCTCGCTGCAGCTGCCAAACGTTCATCCAGACTGCAGGGTGATTCACTGTCAGCTAGACACAAACGCTCCATCTTAGTGAAGCTTTAATGTCAGCGTGTAATCAGTAAATTAATTATTTCGTCCAGTTTTTGCATTATTTTGAAGGGAAATTGAATGTTTGCTCTGCCCGGCTGGATCAGCAGACTTACAAGGTGTCATTAGATCCCAGTGTGGACCCTTGACATTGATTTTGTTTTGAGGTTAAATCAATACCAGTTTGCTGCTAAAAGCTTCTCGCATGTTTTTATTTGGGGCTGCAGCTGACCGTTATTTTCATTGTTGATGGATTAAATGATAAATAATTAGTTCTTTGGTCCATTAGAAAATGGTGAAAAATGTTGATCGCTGTTTCCACAAAGTCCGAGGTGACAGAAGTTTGATTTATTTAGGCGATCATTTCATTGTTGATTATTTTCTTGATTAACTGGTGAGTTCTTTGGTTTATATATTGGCTTACTTGGTAAGAAAATGGTGCAAAGTGTTGATCTGTATGTCCTAAAACCCAGATGACGTCTTTAAATGTCTTGTTTTGTCCACAATCCAAAGAGTCGTGTAGAGAACAACTAGTCGATTAGTTGTCAGTGGATTGATTTAAGTAATTTTTGTGGGGAAAAAAACAAACAATTCTCTGATTCCAGCTTCCTAAATGTGAATATATCGTCGGGTTTCTTTGGCTTTTGGACAGAACAAGACATTTAAAGATGTCGTCTTTGGCTTTTTCATGGTTTTTCACCATTTTCTGACATTTTATAGACCAAACAGCTAATCGAGGAAATGGTCAACAATAGTAATTAGATTTGGGCACTTGGGTGAGAAGCAGGGCTGCAACCAACAATTTTTAAAAATGTCATTGTTGTTGCTCGATTGATCGATTAGTTGTCAGAAAAATGGTGAAGAATATTGATCAGTGTTTTCCAAAGATGGCTTCTTTAATGGTCTTGTTAGACGTGGGAAGAACGTGGTAAATATTTGCAGTTTAGAAGCTGGAATCAGAGAATTTAGACTTTTTTCCCCTTAAGAAATGACTCAGATAGATGAATTGATCATCAGAGAAGTTGGAGATCAGTGTAATTGTTGACGACTTACCAATTAATTGATTGATTGGTAAGCAGGGTAGCTCAGTAAATACATCCCAGATTCATTGATTCATTCAGCGCCACAGGAAGTTCTTACAAAAGCTGTGTTTGTCGTCTGTCTACTTTGTTGTTGGCATCTAATTAGTGAGTATTGAGACGGTCAAATAATTAAGCTTTTGGTGTTTCATCCAACAAATTAGCTTTGGGTGTTTGCTTTGCTCAGCCGCATCAAATAGATAATTAGACGTCATTAGATTTCATTTCAGGCTGGACACCTTGACTTTGTTTGGAGGTGAAACCAATGTCAGTTTGCTGTTTGGAGATAACAAATGTTTTCACTTCTATTAATCAGAATCATTTGTTTAAGTAAAAAAAAAAAGCTTTTTCAGTATCAGTATGTTCTGGTTTTTTTCCTCCACCGTGACAGTAAACTGAATATGTTTCAGTTGTGGGAAAAAAAAAACTCGACATTTGCCATCTTGGACTTTCAGAAACATTTTTCATCAAACACCAAACAAACTAATTGATTCATCAAGTAAATAATCAACAATAAAAGATATATTTTAGTTGCAGTGCTGCTTACAATCAATCAGATTTCGACTTTTGGATAAGAAATAGTGCTGCAGTGAAGGATTATTCCCATTGTCAATTAATCAGTTGATTATTTTCCTAATTAGCTGTTTGGTCTGTGAGTGTTTCCCAAAGCTCAAGATGACAAATGTCCTGTTTTGTCCACAACCCAACGATATTCATCAGTTTACTGTCATTGAAGAGGAAAGAAAGCATTCACATTTCAGAAGCTGGAATCAGAAAAATCCAACTTATTTTTCTTGAAAAGTTACTCCAACCAATTCATTGATTAGCAAAGTAGTTGGAGATTAATTTAACAGTTTACACCTAATTCGTTAATACTCTAGTTGTTATCCTCTCAGAGAAGCAACAATAGTTGGTCTAATTGCAAACCTTTCTTTTCTTTTGTTCACTTAAAAAAAGACTCCAAATGATGAATCAATTAGCAAAATACCTGGTGATTCATTTAACAATTAACAACTAATTGATTAATCGTTGCAGCTCGAGCAGGAGAAGATGTTTCCTTAAAGTGTTTTACTTTGACGACATATGACAGGACTTCTCGGAGTCAAACAACAGGTGTCTGTTTTTAAAACCTGTTTTATCTCACACACCCAGGAGGGATGTTTGTTCAAGAATACCTTGTTGGGAACTCTGTAGGTCTGTTTGCAGTGTAAATATCCCTTACTGCATTATTTTCACCTGGATTTGCTGTCCTCAAGATGACATGTTGACTGCGTGCAGATGGAGCCTTAAGAAACATGTTGCGTCAGCTGCAGCGTGGATGGAGGTGTTTGGGGGCCTGTAGCTGTAACCTCAACATGTGGGATACAAGCATGAACGAAGCAAAGTGTTTTTATTTTGAGTTGTAATGTTTGGTCATTGTGCCTGAGTTTGGTGCTTGATTTCTCCCATAAATTTATGCAGAAAAGACACAAATTGGTGCATGAAAACGTTCCCAGCGTAAACCCTGAAATCTACATGGACGGTCTGCAATAGTCCACCTGTTCTCACCAGCCTGTTCTGTCCACATGAGCCTTATTTTCTGGTAGAATCCTATTTTCTCTTGGCAAACTGCAGCACAGGTGTGTTCTCTAAATGCATTTCTCCCAGCATGCTTTCAGTCAGAGCCCACAGAGCGTCTCTATTATTGTAAAAAAAAAAAAAAAAGAATCACACAAGGTCATCTCCCACTCCTTTGTCCAAACCGTGTCCTCTGCCGCCTGCTAAAGATCGCCACCGTTACGTAAAGAAACAAACATTCGGCTCCGGTGTGTTGACTTTGCCACATGAACGTTTCAGTGGTGATTACAGAAGCAAACATGACTCTCTCTCGCATAATAACAATCCCTTACCTGTGGCTTAAACCCGCACTGTGAAGCATTTTGATGAATAGGGCCGGACTAAGAAGCTTAAAGGCTAACTGAGGGTGTGCAGGTGTTTTATTATTTCCTTTTTTTTTTAGAACCAGATGACATTGTGAGTGTCTTTAGTGGTGGTTGGTGACTTTTTTTCATTATTAGGGAGGTGCTGCACAGGACAGCGCTGCATGTTTATCTGCTAATAGGTTGTCTGCACGATCAGGGCTTTAATGATAATCCCTGTTATTTTTGTAAATACTGTCATGTGAGCCTGACTGTCACCTATTATTAGTAGTTTTACTGCTCTGAGGAACTAAAAGTTGACTCCATTTGACTCTATCGTTTAAAATTTTGCTCAAAAAAAGCCTGTTCTTTGTCACTTTGTTCTTCTGAGATATAATTTATATGCATCCAAACTTGCAGCTAGTTTACGTTTAGGTCTATATGTGCAATGCAGGCAGTGGGGATGCAGTTTAAATGTGCAGTATTGTTTGATATCTGTGCATTTAGGCATCCAGAATAAGTGTATTTGCTGCTTTGAGAGGCGAACAACTAGAGCTGCAACCGTTTAGTTGTCAACTAAGAGAAAAAGTGTTTGAATCATCAGATTCCAGCTTCTTAAATGTGACTCTTTTCTGGTTTCTTTCCTCCTCTACGACTGTAAACTTAATATCTTTGGGTTGTGGACAAAAAAATACACTTTGGGACGTCACCTCAGTCTTTGGGAAAAGCCAATCAACATTTTGAACCATTTCAACCACCAGAAAATACAATACTGACAGTGAAAATGACGGTTTGTTGCAGCTTTACTTTTATCGAAATCCAGTTTTGCTGTACGCAGCGCTGTTAACAACAAAACTAGACAATTATTACCTAATAGTAGTTAGTTTATCGATTTGTTTGGCCTATAAAATATCTGAAAATGTTGAGAGAGTATTGCTACTTCAATGCAGGACAAATGAAACTGATGATTTCTGTCTCGAAGCTACAACTTCAGGTAGTTTCCAGGACATTCTGTCTAGATTTTTCCATACAGCTCGCAGTTTTTAGCTATAAATTGTCATTTTGTAATAAAAATATCTGATTCAGATCATGTTGTTCATCCCCCTTTTTCGACATTTTGAGCAGGTGACAGCCGCAACTGATGATTATTACCTTTGAATATGTTGATTATTTTAGAAATTAGTGACCAAACCCAAGATGACAAGTGTCTTGTTTTGTCCACAACCCAAAAATATTCAAGAAACTATAAAATATTTAGCGCTGTCGCCTCGCAGCAAGAAGGTCGCCGGTTCGCGTCCCGGTGGGGACACCCGGGATTTTCTGCGTGGGGTTTACATGTTCTCCCCGTGCAGCGTGGGTTCTCTCCGGGTTCTCCGGCTTCCTCCCACACAGTCCAAAAACATGTTGAGGTTAATTGGTGATTCTAAATTGTCCGTAGGTGTGATTGTGAGTGTGTTTGGTTGTCTGTCTCTAAGTGTAGCCCTGTGATAGACTGGTTACCTGTCCAGGTGAACCTGCCTTCACCCTGAGTCAGCTGGGATAGACTCCAGCCCCCCATGACCCCAGTGAGGATGAAGCGGTGTATAGATGATGGATGGATGGATAAAATATTTACATGTAGGAAGCTGGAATCTCAGAGTTTTTCTCTTTACTGATTCGTCACACTAATTATCAAAGTGGTTCAACTAATCGATTAATCTTTGCAGCTGTAATGAAAAGACACAACTACGTCTCCTGGAACACACATGTCTAGTGTTTGGTTTCAGGCCTCCAGATGTGAGTGTGTTGCAGCCGCAGACAACACTTTGATTAGTCAGCGTTGTCTTCTGGGATGTTTGTAGTTCTGTGTTGAGGTTGACTGTAGCTGTGAGGCTTCGTACAATGAAAAGAAAAATCTGCTTTTCTCTGTATGTCTTCACAGCGGCGTGCTTGCCAACATTATATTGATTTGCTCCGAGGTTGGAGGTTTATTCTAGCGGGATTTAAGTTGGACTCCATCCCGCGCCAGTTTACTGTACATCATGATCGCTTGTCTAGGTCTGGCGTGCTCCCTCGCTCATTTCCTCTCTTATTTATTTCGCTCTCGTACATTTCGGAGGTCTAGATCAGCTTCATCCACTTGTGCGTTTCAATGGGACCATTGTGCAGCTTCTTTTCACAGCAGCTTTGACAAAGTTGTGGATGTTTTGACACCTTGCAAAGAGATCTGTGAATGCAGCCAGATGGATTGACAGACGAAGCAGCCCGAAACAGCGACTGACAGCCTCGTAGTGTCGCGGCAGTACGTTGAGAATATGTTGCATCGCAGCACTCGACATGTCTGCCCTTCATGTTTTGCTTGGCAGGAGAGCGGTGGGATGTGCTCGTCTCTCTGTGCGGCTCTATCTCAACTCCTGCCCTTCCTGCTGCACAACTGGGTTTAGACCTCAGCCAAATAAGTCCAGATTCAGGCCTTTGGTGATTTATGAAATTCTCTCCCCTTCTTACCGTATCTCCTTTTTTGTCTCTGCAGGCCGAGACATGAGCTTCTCCCGCTGAACGTTATTGATGCTGAACTGGTGAGTTTTGGGGTTGTTCGCTGCCAGTGATCTCTGCAGCAACACACATTTCTTCTTCTGCTGGTGTTATTTTTACTCGGTCCTGCTTAGGTTGTGTCTTACAGCACTGTAGGTTAGCCCTCTGAACCCTAACCAGTTTGATTCTGTCACACTGGTCTTATTTTTCACTGCTATATAAAGTCCTGCACCGCTAAGGAAACATTAGGCTAGAAGTAAAGAGAACTCAAAAATACCCTTTTGTGCAGTATAACATAGTTGCACTGCCATAAATCATAAAAAAAAGGAATCAGCATGCTCAACATTTTGCTAAGTGTCCTCCAAAAATGGAGGAGCCACATGCTATAGATATTTAGCTATTTATATTTTTACAACCAATACAAACAAGGCACACGATGCTGAATGTATCTTCCAAAAACTTGCAGACAGCTTGCTCCTCTGTTTACCTTTTTTTTTTTTTTTTTTTTAATGCAATATGTTGTATTTTATTCTCAGTCTGTATTTTGTTTCCATACTCGTCTCCTCTCTGGCCAATGTAAACACAGCCTGCAGTTAAGCCGAATATTCACTGAATTTTCATAATGCGACTGTAAACCGCGTCAGAGTTAAACATGGCTTCCCAGTTGCGCCAAGGAGTGCAGATTTTTTTGTATTTTAGAGAATTTGGTGAAGACTATTTATTTTTGGCAAATTTTTAAAAGTGGCTTGTGAAATGTGTCACGATTTAAAGCCACACTTGAGTAATTTTCAGGACTGAACCTCATGTAACGCATAAGTTCAAGGACTATCGGAAAATTGACAATCCGACAGGTCCATTGGTTTTTGATAAATTTCTGATAAATTGTGTGATTTTTGCGATTGAAAAAAAAAAATCCCTTGCCTTTCAAAGCGCTGTTTTGGTGTTAATAACCACCTGGTTGTAACTGTTGGAAAAATATTCTTTTCCTAGAATTCAGCTTAGCACAAACCACCTCTTCAATATTAGTGTCTTCTTTCCAGAGCATCTGGTTCATGATTGCATATTAATAACTTAGCCTGGATTAAGTCAGTTGATGAAAATGTATGCATATTGTAACGTACAGCCTCGTCCAGGCTGCTGGCCTACCTGGCAGGTTATGTAATCTCAGCATTTAATCTAATGTGCTTCTATGGGGAAACCGAAAACGAACAGCCAACAAAGAACGCGAGGAATGATAGGGATTTTCCTTCCATCTATGTACTGTGCACAGATATCCACCTGGATCTTGTTTTCTTTGTCTTTGAGGCCTCATTAGAGAATACTGACGCATTTTCCTCCAAAGCATTCCACATTTCAAACACGCCGCACCGAGATCTGGAGACAACAGACATTTTATTGAATTTGTGCTGAATGATGAAAGCAAGAGGCCTAATTTTTCACCGTATCCTTCACACAAGAGTGATGCTCAGCGTTCGCCGATGCGCTGCCAGACATCACTCATTGATAAGTAGGTTGCGTGACTGCTGCTGTTTGCTGCTGTACGCTCCCTCGTGCTGAACTCGACGCTGTAATGGAGCTGAGATGTGATTGCTCTCAGTAATATGTTGCGTATTAATGATGTAATCTGCATTATTAATGTGATGTGTAGCATGAAGGCTGCCTGTTGGCGGTGCCTCATTAATTTTCATATGGTGCAAGCTTTGCTTTCATAGTGGAGAGAGGTGTACATTTTCATTATGGTGTAACTGTATTTGTTTCCTGGAAAGCAGCCTGTGAGTGACGGTGAATAGGAACAAACTATTAGAGCGCTGTTGGACTGCAGCTATTGTTTTACAAAACAAAATATTCTAGAGTTAGTCTGAGGACATGAGTTTAGCGTAATAGCTTGAAGCTTACATGTGTCCCACTTGCAAGTTTTAAAGACCCCCTGTTATACTATTTGGGTTTTTCTTTGTTACAATCTTTTCTGTGCATGTAAAACTTACAAAACCCAAAGTCCACGCCAAAGGAAGTTATTCTCTAAAGAAAACAAGACTAACTAGCTGCCCAAAATGCCTCGTTTGAAGTCCAGGCTTTTCTTCTGTTACGTATCTATGTCATCATGTAACACATTTGCATGATTCCCGCGTAGCTGCTGGTTTAGCCTCAAACAAGAAATGAGCAGCTGCCTCATAGTGCACCATTATTTCCTCACTAAAGAAAATTCTGCGAGAGCAGCATCCCTGTATTCAGAGATTTGGGGTTGCTAACCAATGTTACCTGGCTTTGGTCGGACCTAGTGACCAATCAGAGTGGACTGAGCTTTATGGGAGGCGGGTCTTAAAGAGACAGGAGCTAAAACTGTGTGTTTTAAACAGAGGCTGAGAAGAACTGCTGCAACAATGTACAATATGAGAAAAATAGCTTTGTTTTTTAAAGCATTAAAGCATGACAACATATTCTAGTGGACCTAAAACATGCAACTATGAACCTGTAAATACGCATAATATGGGTACTTTAAAGTCTTAGAAAAAGAAAATGCAGTTATGTTTGTAATAGGAAGGACTAGACACAGTGGCAAAAATGAAACAGTTAATAAAAGGAAGATTGAAGCGTAAAGCATCTCGTATTCAGATTCTGCACTCTGTCATTCATGAATATGCTAAGATTATCTTTGCTTACTTTTGAAATGTCAGCGCTCTGTTGGCCATTTTCCTGATATGACTGGAGCTGATATATTTTGTTGACTGCACTGTGTAGATACAGTACGTGCTCAGGAAAGAAGTACACACAATTCCTTCAACAAAAACCAGCGGTAGTTGTGCTTGTAGCCTAAATTTATAAAGTTATTCTCCCTAGTATGTTTGTACTGTAATGCATGCAACTCATCGTTGTGAGGTTGTTCATTTTTTCCATTTTTTACCCAAATTTAAGCCTTTCTAACACGTCATAACTATTAGACATGTGTAGTAGAGCTACAACAACTGATGAGTTAATTGATCATTCAGTTTGAGTAACTTTTAAGAGGGAAAGAAGTCAGAATTTTCTAATTCCAGCCTCTTAAATGTGAGTATTTTCTGTTTACTTTGCATTTATGACAGTAACACACAAGACATTGTTCGTGTGTCTCAGTTAAGTGGTCATGATTCGAACTATAAACTATAAAATAATGTGCAGCATTAAATATAATATGCACACAAATCAGTGATGCAAGCCTCAAATTACCAATATTAACTGGTTGGGACGTATTTGACAGAAGTTCCTTTGTCCAGTAAGAATGTCTGTCACGCTGTCGTTATATAATAGAACATTTCTGAATGAACTGACTCGTCCAGGTCAACCTTCTTCCATTTACGAACCATAAAAGCCAAGATCCAGCGCTAGCAGCGGTCGTGCATCAGCGGATCTTGTACCAGAAGCAGTGTCAACAGCAGCAGAGTCAACACACCTAAATTCCCACTGCAAATGTTTGCATGGATCCAGCAGCCTGAAACATTGTCCTTCCCTCAGCTGCATTTTCAGACCTTGACATTCATCGAAATTATGGATGTGACAGTCACTGGAGGCTGCAGAGGAACTGTCACTTTCAAAGGAACTGCATCTTTAAATGTAATGCAGTAGTAGGAAGAAAATGGTTCCTTTTAAACGGACACAGAACAATACTTTGATGCACATTTAAACATGTTGCAGCAGACTGTTTGGCATTTTAGGAAAAGTAAGGGGGCATTTGTCCAAGTCTAGTGTCAAGAATATTGCTTTGTTGTCATTAACCTACTGATCTGCTGTCACATGTTTCCTCACTGTTGGTTCAGTTTAAAACGCAATAACAAATCCTGCACCTCTATGAAAACCATTGCTAGAGGTAGAGAGAACTCAAGAATGTCTTTTGTGCAGTATGAGATAGTTAGAAGTTTATTTTACAAAGATTTAACTAAAAAAAGGAATTCATATGAACAACTTTTTGCCCATATGTGGTACAATACTGTACAATGGTGGCTCTACATGCTATAGATATTTTACTATTTACATTTTTACAACCTCCACAAACTTTTTTTACTCTGCATATGAACTCTAGAAAGATGTTTGACCATGCTGGATGTATCTTCCAACAACGTCCTCCTCTACATACTGCGTTTCAACCATGCTGCAGTTATTTTATTGATCAAAAGTGTTTTGTTTTGCTCTTCAGTCTGCAGCTCAGCCCAAATATTCACAGAATTTCTGACATGTGAGTGTTGGTCACAGCTGAATCAGTCATGGCTGCACTGAGGAGCACAGAATTTTTTGTTTTGTACAAAATCTGATGCAAACCGATTCTTTTTTTTGGCAAACTCTTATACAAGGCATGCGGAACAAAGGGATTTTGTAAAAACATAGATTTTCCTGATTAAACTGCACATCATACATGAATTATTCGAGGAAAGTTTTCTCTTAAAGTTTTGATAGTTTATGGTAAATGGTATTATTGTTGTGATGCTTTCATCTTAGAGATAATAAGCCTTTTAAAGAACTGGTGATAGGCTTGAGAGTGTTAATGATATTGCCAGTATCGCTTCTCAAGTTTATAGGACAAGTAGTCTTGAGTAGTTTATTTTTCCTTTCGAACTATGTAATACAAATCAGGCATATTTAACAAGGCTGCAACTTGCACTTTTCTAAGACGCTACATGAATCACTTGATGATCACGGCTGTTTGTTTCTGTTGGCCGGTGACGCTGCTGAAAGGCTCGATAAACCTCTGGACTGATAAACCACTGGGCTCCAAATACAGGAATAGCTCATCAGAATCAGCCCGTTACTGGTGCAGATGTTGTAGATTATAGAGATAGACGGGAGCCTCTGCGTAAAGAAAGACAGATCAATGATGAGGGAGTGTGTCTTCACTACAAGGGTAAGTGTGGCTGGAGGCTGAATATCATGACGGGGGTATTCTCTGCAGACTCCCAGCCAGCAGCAGCAGCAGCAGCAGCAGCAGTGGCAGCAGCGGAAAGAGGGAGGGAGAGGACGAGTGAAAGCAAAGCAGAGAGGGAGACGCTCACTCTCACACCAACAGATGGGAACCGCA